AAGTCCAAGGCCGTCATGGAAGCCAAGAACTCCTGAGCTGCCGCCGACGTCCCGCCCGCTGATGGCAAGTTGAAGTCCCCCAAGACCATAAGTCTGGGGGTCTCCACCGCCACCCCGGCTATCACGTCGGCCAGCTCAGGCAGGGCTGTTGATACATAGCAGGGAGCCAGGTATATAATCAACAAGCCCACTTGCACCCATAATTTAAGCTATGGGCTTAAATTATAATGAAGCAGATGTTGGTTTGGTATTAGGAAACATTTGAAAGAACTGTTCAATGACAGACTGACCCAGGAAGTGGTGGATCATCTTTTCTAGAACTGTTTAAACATGGGGTGGGTAACCATCTGCTAGTGATACTGAAATAATGGATTCTTTCATGGGCAGAACCACTTTGGTGTAATTGTTAATGCACCAATATAAAAACTGAGATATTCTGAATACTAGTCCCAACTCAAGGACTAAATCAATTGGGCAACACTGGACCAGTCCCTCTCTCTCAACCCTAATGTCATGGTTCCAGTAGATGAAACCAATTAAAAGAACTTCAAGGCAAAGATTTCTTCCTCAAATAACATTTTATTTAGAAAACAAAGTATCGGCACTTACATAGGTGAACCCAAAACTAAAGTTCCCTCCCCCCTGCTACAAAGGAACAAGTTGCAATTCCCACCCCAGAAAGGCTGTCATAAATCACATTCACCAATTATTTTAAAACGCGGGTTCTCCCAACTTCTCAGCCCGCCAAAACGTTTTCTAGCATTGACCTTGATTCTCACACAGTTGCAATTGTTGTGGCTAACTGAAATAACTCAAGCTTTCCCCCTCCCCCTTTCTCCATCTAAAATACCAAACAACAAAAAGAAACAACAAAGGCAAAATGTAAAATGGCCACAGTTTTTCAGTTGTTGCAGCGCTGACACCTACGCATTGGGCAATGGCAAACCACTTCCCAAATCTCGACAAGGAAACTACAAAGTCTTGGCTACTGAAGATAATAGTACAATACATGATTTCCAAGGCTTTCTCCATGGTTTCCATTCATGATTACATGAAAATACTGATGGAAACAGTTTTATCTCTTTAACAGAAAACATGACTTACCATATGAAAAAAGGTACCAGTGAATTTCGCAACAATTTCAAGCGCTTGAATTAGCTTCTGGAAGTTTTCATCTTCAGGAGCAAACTGATACCCAAAACTCAAAGCACATATGACATTAGAAATTGCACTTATTACTAGAAATGAAGGGTCAAAAGGCTGTCCTGCAAATGAAGATATTTCATAATCAGTTATTAAAGAATAGGATTTCTAAGGGAATGAGAAAAGAAAGATATTAGATTGTGCTGAGATGAATAAACTTACCTTAGAAATGAAAGACAAAGAAGCTACAGAATTTTACGAGATATGGGATATGTACTATAACTGGTTAGAATTGAGGAATAAAAAGGTATGAGAAGTAATGTAAATAAAAGTAAAAGATATAGGACATAGTATTGTTAAGAAAAAAGAAAAAATGTACTGTGTATTTTGTTTGTTTGTAAAGAGAAAAAGGAAAAATTAAAATTAAAAAAGAGAGAGAGAAAAGAGAATTGGAAATCAATTGGTTCAAAATTTTAAAAAATCAGATCAAATACATATGTTCAAAATACATGGAATGGAAAAAAATTCTGCAGACAGAGACTTGAGCCATTACCCCAAACTTCGTACCTTTTGTTTCTCTAAAGCTCTCCACCAGTGTCTGAACTGTATCTTCTATCTGAGGCTCAACGCTTTTATTTCCCAGGCCCAGCTTCCGCAGAGAAGTGACGGCAATGTGCCGGTGCTGCTTCCAGATTTCACCATTGGAGAAAAAAATACCTGAGGGCATCAGCAGACAGTTAGCTTTGTTCTTGCCAAACATGTCTCTAAATTTCAGGTGGGAATACCAAGCTTTTGTGCAGTGTTGCCATTTTGTAAGATTCCGACTATGTTCATTTTTATTATAAAAATACTTATTTACTTTGGGAGACACATGGACACTACGAGAAAACATGTGGTATAGTGACCATGATTGCCAGCCTGTATCTTATATGATGGACATCAAGACCTTCTAAGAAGATGTAATTGNTGGACAAGAATCTATGTTATAGGTACAAGTGACAGGATCTTCTCAGTGGTGGCAAAATCCATCTGCAACTTCCTCCTACAAGATTGAAACTAACCAGCAAAATAGCCAAATGGCTTTTTTATTCACCAAGTTTAATCAAGTTACCAATAAAGAAGAAAAGTAGTAGCTCAGGGTTGAAACGAAGGATCTTGGTGCTCCCTGAGGTTGGTTGTTTTCTTGCAGACATTTAATTACCCAAACTAGGTAACATCTTCAGTTCTTTCTTTGTCAAGTTTCCATCCATTGCAGGTAGTCCTTGACTTATAACAATTTGTTTAGTAATCGTTTGAAGTTTCAATGGCACTAAAAAAAGTGACTTATGACCATTTTCACACTTACAACCATGCAGCATTCTCATGTTCATGTGATGCTCTGCAACTGGTTCATATTTATGTCAGTTGCAGTGTCGTGAGATCACGTGATCCCTTTTTGAGACTTTCTGACAAGCAAAGTCAATGGGGAAGCCAGATTCACATAACAAACGTGTTACTAATTTAACAGCTGCAATGATTCTCTTAACAACTATGGCAAGAAAGGCTGTAAAATGGAGTAAAATTCACTTAACAATTTTCTCACTTAGCAACATAAATTTTGCTCTCTGTTGTGGTCGTATGTTGCATTGTGGTGATCAAAACTGGATGCAGTATTTTAAATGTGGTCACCAGAATGATGTAAAGCGATGCTATCAGTTCTCAATGTCTTGATGCTACCCTTAAGTTGATGCAGCCTAGAACTGCATTGACTTTTTTTGGCAGCTGCAGCAAATCGCTGGCTCATACTTAAGAAGTGGTCCACTAGGTGACTAGGACACCTAGAGTGGATCCCTCTAAAAGGACTACTGTTGAACCAGTACCACCTTTTCTATATTTATGCATTTTTTTTTTCCTGGCTAGGTGCAGGACCTTATGTTTCTCACCTTTGAATTTGTTGGAGCACTGAGCCAATGTTGAACTTGTCTGAACTTGTTGGATAAGGCCCAATGCTCACGTCTGTCAAGGTCCTTGTTACAGGTGTTATATGTCCTGTTATATGCAGCTCTATCATTCATCTCTATTGCATTTGTTTCCTGCATCACATTGCTATTCTATGATCCATCTTTATTGTTCCTGTGATGCATTTTCCTGTTCCTGTTGTATTCTTGCTCTCTAAGAAGATGACTTCTGCACAGTGATGGCTTCTATTGTATTTACTTACTCCACATGCATGCATGGCAGTCTAACACTTGTGGTCCTGTCCCAGAAGCCAAGCATTTGAAGCAAGAAAATGGCTACATAATATCAGCATGAACATAGGTGAAACCAAGACTGGAAGTCCCTCCCGCAAAAGGTTACAAAGTAAAAGTTAAACTTTCCACCCACTATATATGTAATAAATCACATTCTCCAATTAACACCTTTGGCAGGCTCTATAACAGTTGTTCTAGCCTGCCAAACACTTAAGTTATTTGACCTTGGTTCCCACAAGAAAATTATTGTTATGACTAACTAGAAGAATTGTTGGAATATTCATGAGCAGGAAGAGTCATGTGGTAACTCAGTCAGCAAATGTGAAGAAAGTGCTACTGAGTCTGTGCAAAAGGTTATTGAGTTAGAAGCTGGGTTTCAGTTTCAGGTCTCAGGTCTGTCTCTACTGTAAGAAGTCTACATTGTGTTATGTTGCTGTAAAGAAGAATGTATGGTATTGTAAATATTTGCTATGAATATAAAGAGTTTATTTGAATCAGCTAAATGCAGTCAACTGTGAGAGCTTCTGATTTATTTTTACCAACAGAGAAATTAAAATTCTCTAACAGGTTATGGGCTCAGAGCTTACTAAGGACTGCATTGTAATTTAAAGCTGGAAGAAATTGCCTGTGTTTAGAAAAGTATAAGAACAAGGCAGAATTAGCAGAATGGCTGCAATGGAATTTAAGGAAAGCTTTGTGCCTCGTTTAGGGCAAAAGAATTACATTATATGGGCTGCGAAGATGGAATGTTTGCTGAAAGCAAAAGAGCTGTGGTATATTGTAGAAAATCTCCCACAAGTGTTTGCAGCTATTGATCAGAAAAGCCATGATCAAGCCATGGCTTATCTCATCTTGAATTTAGATGATGAACAGTTTCTAAATGTTACAAATCTAAAGACTGCAAAGGAAATTTGGCTGAAGTTGAGAGCTGTGCACGTGAATGTTTCTGCATGCAATATAGTGCAATTGTCAAGAAAACTTTACAGAGCCTGTTTGCAACCAGGTGAATCTGTGGAACAGCATTTAAATAAAATGCAAAGTTTATTTTTGGACTTAGAACAACGTGGGATTAAATTCCCTGAGTCACGGAAGGTTTTATTGGTGTTGAACAGTTTAGATAAAAC